CCTGTTGCGGACACTAACATCATAGTCATGGCCATACATAAACAATACATTTTATGTAATCTACAAAAAATAAAGCACCTGCAGTGGGAGGGACGCAAAGTCATGGTCCTAGCCACACATAAACACTACATTTGTAACCAACAGAAAAAGCACACCACTGTACGGCCAGAAGATCGACCTACCGGCTGACCGATCGACTGACTAACCTGACTGACCCACTAACAGACAGACACATAGACAGACAGACAGACAGACAGACAGACAGACAGACTAATTGACTGTACGTGGCTGACTGTTTGACGGCTGTATATTGGTCAAATGACAACTGGCTGCATGCTGATTATAAGTGACTCGACTGCCGGCCGGTCAACTGACACACCGACTGACTATTAACCTACTTGATTGAACAAATGCAGAAAAATTAGATAATGAGCAGAAGAGTACCAGTGGAGTACTTCCTCTCATTTACAAATACAATTTCAGAAGAGGACCTTACCTCTGCCAAGGTTTCCTCTCTTGTGGCAGTATATTCCTCACTCCTCTTTGAATTCGCATGATTTGGAGTAAAAAGCTGGTTATCAAGCATCCGCCACACCACAAAATAATATCCTAAGACGAGACAAGGCATTGTAGAGTTTAATATGAGACACTTCACTACCACACGCAGCATTATAAAGTCCGTTACCCATCAACTGTCGTGACTGCTTCAGTGAGAATGTATTGATATTTTAATGTCTTAGATGTGCAGTGTCAATGGAGTTCTTTACCTGGATCACAGCCGTAAATCTCCAACCGTAAACCAACGTTGTCAGTCCACGCTTGTGGTAAGAAAGTGATTACTGACGTCACAACTGGAATAGGAATATCCTGACGTCTAATAGAACTGCTGTCTCTGTTTCCACTAAAAATCTGTCATAATAAAAACTATAATCTTCATTTTATTTCCACATCAATTTGATCATATTACTAAGTGTTGCGGGTATTATATTTATATCATGAGTTGATCTAGGTCTATGTGTTGCGCCAAGTACCAGCACCAACAGAAATCAAAGAATTCAATGGGCCAACTCGTGAATGATATTGAGGACAGTAATGCATAAATTAATAGCGCGATTAAGGTTTACAACCCATCGACCGACCGAGTGCATTTTCCCCTAAATGCTAAATGTGATTGTTACGCGGAAAATATGGTTTCCGAGTATAAAATAAGCCTGCCCTTCATAGGATTTTACAGATTCGGCAACCAGAAGATCTAATAGCTATATAAACCAGCCACTTAGTTTCAGTTATAGAACTGAACGCTAAAAAACAAACGTGGTTAAAGTGAAATAATTAAGTGATACAAAACTCAAATCCCTCCTTGCAGATTTCCTTTTGCACAAACTTTGAGAAGGGTTCAACTAACAGAGATTTGTTCGTAAAAATACTCACCTTAGGACCCCCCTGCATGTTTGTAAACTGCTGCATATCACCCATCCTAGACTCGTACATGGCGATATAACTTGTGACCCATTCCGTGACTGACGTATCTCCATACCCCTGAGTTGCCAATCCCGTGATGACTTTATCAGTTCCCAGATCAACCTTGATCCAAGTGAAGGAAAGCTCTGTTGGATTAGCCCTGTATCCGGGGGGCCATGATGTCAGGTTCAGTCGTGCTCGTTGAGATCCATAGGTGGCAAAGCCGTCATTGAAGGCGCTGGATGCTGTTATCTGTTGGTCTTTTATTCGCTTGCTCTCCACACCCAACGGCTCGTTACAACTTTCTGCAAATCAGCCAGCAAAATATATGATATAAGTACGAAGAAATCTGCGATAGGAAAAAGGGTCGGCGAAGCGAGAAGGGGAGTTGCGAAGTGGAAAAAGGGATGTAAACAGCGGAGGATGAGTCAATTTATTGATGGGAATCAATCTCTACTGAGTTGTTTAGACGGGGATGAGGAGATACAATACAAAGGGGAGTTTAGTGATTGGAATCGATCCTATATCATATACCCATGTATGATAGTTGCTGAGCCATGCTGGCAGAGTCCACCTTTGAATTAGAGTTAACGTTGCACAGTGCGAGTCTATCGTTCGACGCATGTAAATTGATTTTAAATCAGCCATTGAGGCGAAACTTTAACTAAAAAATTGGACACTGGAAAATTGCTTTCGACTTGGCAAATAGTAGCTTGCTTTTTGTTTCAACCGTGATGTGGTCTGTGGTCCCGTATGCAAAAAGCATTTTTTTAAACTTTGAATTTAATCTAAGCTACTGGAGACGGCCTTGCGTGAACAGTTTTAATTATCAGTGAGAGGTGTTATATGATGTTTTGGTGTTGTTATGGCGTTACAAGAGTACAAAGAACAGCCGTTCATAAAGGTATCGTGTCAAACAAGGGCATAACAAAACATTATTAGATTGTACATGTAGCACACGATGTTATATTTCAATATGCAGAACTTAATCGGTTGTTTTTAAAACATTACAATACTTTATGTATAGAATATAATATACAAGTTCTTACTTTCACAGGCATTGGGAAGTGACTTCGGTAAACCACACAGGAAGACGCCAACAAACATGGTCAAACCAAAGCTCCTCATGACCCGTATGTTGTATAACGCGAACACTCGTGATTTTTCACTTCACTGTTACTGTTGCGTGCGCGTGATTCTTCCACTAAAAAGAAAAATCAAGGAAAATAAAAGTTGAATTTATGCCAATAACTTTACGTGAACATTTCGTGCTTTTGCATCAAATTATGAAAGTGTTCAATGCAAACACCAGCCATGTTAGTCGTGTGAAACATATAGTTCCAGCTGATAATTGCTTTTTTCAAAACAAAAAAATTAATTTAACCTTTATCTTTTGTTTGAATCTGCAGAAGCTAATTACCTGAGGCATAGTTAGACGCCATTCATTTTGCCAAGGTAATACGAATAACAATGATTGGTGGATGAGACCTTCTGGAAGAAAAAAACAAGCAGCTCAGATACTAGCTGTAAACGGTACGCCAGTCATAACAAAATAGGACACACTATAGGTTTTCAAAATATGTTTAATTTTATGATTAGTTTTAGTATAACTGTAATGGATTACCGCCATTTTTACAAGTCTGTAAAAATTTCCACCTATAATATAGTACCTATACTGAGCCACATCTCCGTCCTTATATTACACAAAATAAAACTCCAACATGCACGTATCAATTATATAATGTTGATTGCGTTCCGGTACTAATCCAAATATCAAGAATTTAAATTTGTATCGCTCAAATTCTAGCCTTGACCAAATATAAGGTAAATTTATGAAAAGCCAAGGCTTTTTAGGGGAATTTAAGCTGAATTAAACAGTGGTCGTGCATGTGAGAATGCAGTGTATGTAGCGCTTTGCTAATAAAACGCCCATAATTTATAAACATACTCGACTTATATTTTACCCCCAGACAATTTTAATGAAACGGAGATAAAATAATAAAAGTATATGTAAATAGTGATAATGGACTTTATGATTACGACGTTGATGCAACCCAAGCCCATTAAGACGCTTATAGCCGGAAGATAACGATCAGTCCTCTTATAGCTTAGCAAAAAATATGATACGTATTTTATTTTCCATTTAATATATAAATTATTTATATTAGTATATTTCCTTTTGATACTTAACATGGATCTTATCCGATCACGCACATTTCATTGTTACTATCATAGCTTGAAAAAGTACACTAGAATTCTAGACACTACAATGATATTCCATTAGCAAATTAAAGTAATCTAAAGCAACTTATAAAGCTGTCGGTTTTACTAGCAAGAGTATTTCAGAAAAAATCACGAATAAACCAATCAAAGTCTGTTTTTCGCGCTAATAACTAATGACTGCATGGGAATTTGAATAATAACTGATTCAGTTCGTAGAATATTCCTCTCCCGTGTCCGAAGCAAAGAAGTTTAGTACAAGGAGTGCAGTGTCGCAAAGAATTGAAATTGGAGGGAGTCATCGCTGCCGTTAAAACACTGGAGGAAAAGATCATCTAGTTGTTGGCCATTTTTTGGTAGTTCTTTCTATTCACGAAAGTGCCTTGATCACAACGCGAGTGCAGTCTATTTCACATAAAACATATTTTTTTCCCTTGAACAGACGGTTAATAAGTTTCATTTTGCTCTTAGCGACACCGCACTAATTAAGCCGACGGCTTATAGCTACTATTAAAGAGCTTAGTTTGTGTGCGCGTGACATTCTAATCAATAGATCTGACTGTTCTGTATTGGCTAAATTTCTTCCCGAGGAAAGTGAAAATGCTTCAGAAGAATTTCATTTTCTACGTGAGGAGGATTGGTGGTCGGACAATACTCACGATTGATGCACATCAACAAAATATGGCCGCCGACATCACTGGTTGCATGGATGTATAATTAACAAGTTACTAAGTTTAGGAGAAAATTAAGACATGTTTCAAAGTAGAAGGTCTTCGTAAATTCTAGTTATCTCCTAAGATATAACTTAAGAGGCTATTATGACCTAAGATGCTTTTATGAATACGGCCCCAGCTGGCCTGTACAAAGCTTTTCAATTCCAAGAAAGTCTGCCAGTGGCCAATTATACTTCGCGGATAAACTGCATGGCCTGAACTTGAAATTAAGCGATATACTGTTTGCCTTTTGCTCACAGCATGTATACGTGGAAATAGGCCATTTTTCTGTTTCAAAACGAGTCCTGGAGCACAACCTTTCATATGGAAATGAGCTTGATTTGCGAGACAATAAACGAGCAGGTAGAACTCATTTCCATATGAACGGTTTTGCACCAGGATTCGTTTTGAAAAAAATTACTTGTCTTTAAGTGTTGGTGTATTTGCACTGTAGTTGCTAATTGTGGACACTGTAAATGAAGAAACAAATATTACATGAACATAAACGTGTTAAGAACTCCAACTGGCAGGAGGCTAACCAGTTGGCTATTTACAAAGCGTGGCCGAGGAGTTGAACTCGGGACTACCAAGATCAAATCCAGCTAGTGGCAGGATGCAGGATTTGAACCAGGGAACTCCAGATTTCAAACCCAGCGCCCAGGACCACTCGGCCACGCCGCCTCCTTATAAACAGAAACAGAGGCAAAGGCATTAGGTAAATGGCCTATTGTACAGTAATTTGTATTTACCGCTGCGATAACAATTTTGTGGAAGTAGCCAGCCATGTCTGCCTTCGTGATTAATTCATGTATTATAGTTAGAAACGGAGCAATAACAAAGAAACAAAAACACAAACAGCATAAATTTAAAACGGTCTTCTAGTGATACCAAAAATTCTGTCGAAAATCTGAAAAAATTACAAATGCTCACTAAGATGCATCAGTATCGGTATCAGGCTCTAGTGAAGTGAAAAACTAGTGTCACAAAAGTAACATGTACCTGATATTACTTGAATACTAAAATTATTAATTAGTTTTTCATGTTTTTGGAGTTTTTTACGATTTCTTTCACGTCCTATAGCACTATAAATGCAATGACGATTTCAAAACTATTTTACCTTACTTTTCTCAGGAAGATCAATGTGTTTTCCTGCCTTGAAGCTTTTAAAATTTAAAACGACGCAGCATAAATATCACCTCAACGCCGAGTCAAAAGCGGATTAAAATGCTTCATTTGCATCAGACGGCACTTTCAAATAACGTCATTGCTTGCTAACCAATCAAGTAACATTACTCTAGTTTATAATGTCCTTGAAAAATCAGTCCATTTGCATTCTATATATAAAGTGAAAATCTTTTTGCATATTTTTGTATCTCCTTATCTCTTCGGTTGGTTTTATCGATGAGCCGTACGCATTACTGTTTTGTTTTTTATTTGACACTGTTGCGGCAGAATTGAACTAGACAAGATCGTCGATTGGACCAACAAAAACAAATAACAATGTAGATTCACATGGTAAGCAAATATTCATCTCATCATGTTCATGTCATCATTTTTTATATATATTTTTTTTATAGTTCTTATCGCTTGTATTTTTATTAATTGTTGCTGTGGAGTTTTAATTTTTAATCTTAGATGCAGTACCTGTTTTAACGAGTTGTAAAGCTCCTAAGCGTTACGTGATTAATGTAGCCATGACCAATGACAAGCCTGCTTAACTTAACAATTCCTTACAGCTGTACGTGGTTAAGGATAAATGTGGACAAATGTTGACCATAATGTTCATAAGTAGTCACGGATCTGTTTTCAATTAAGTTTTCAATTTTTAATCAACGAAAATCCAACCTCAGGCGCCATGTTTGCAGCTCAGTGGCGCCGGGAATACAATTATATTGTTGTCAATTATTTGAATGTCCCCCATCACGTAATGTGCAATGCCATGATAGACGAATAAACGAATATATACGAGAAAGCCAGGCCGATCAAGGCTCAACAGCAGGCCATTTTTTTTTAAGAAGTGCTAAGATGACGTGAAATTCAGTCGGTTTATGGGAATCCGGACTTGAAATAAGTTTGACTGGTTGCTATAAGTATGGATTCCATACACTGTCGATTTTTGTAAGAATCTTTGTTATAAGAATATTGAAGCTGAGATTGGCGAAATTTTAAGAATATGCCAAGAATATACCCAAGGCTGAGATTTAGTTTAGAATTTCTTTGCAGATTGATAGAAAATAAAAATTAATACAGTAACATCACATGATGTTTCATTTGAAAGTATGGTAAATGTGTACCATGTATACTTCTTTCTTAACAAACAAACGTGTACAGCTCAGGTCGTATTATTTCTGTTATTTTACTAAAATACTATCTGGATTACTTTGTAATCTAAGAATGTATTAAGAATATTTTCAGCCTAAAATCGGAGGGAAAATAAGAATATTCAGCCTGGGCATGAAGATATATATTCTTACAAAAAAGAGTGTATTCTTGTTCCAGATCCATTTTGCACGCATGATGATGAATAGCATCAGGGCTGTTGGATCGTCTTTATTTTTTCAACAATACATCGGAAAAATATTGAGTAAAACCAGGAGCCATAATTAGTCGCAGACTGTAATCCAGAGTGAGTACGTCCCCATGTCTTGTACTGTTTGGGCTACACATGCGGAGGAGGTTAACTGTCAAATATGTTTAATTTAGTTCTGTTGGAAATTATCTTCATCTTCACTCTCATGATCACAGAGACAAAGACTTTTCTATAGTATCGGGGGCTGAAGAGGAACAATAATGGAATAATGGCCCTGGGTTTTCTGGAATAACGACGTTTCCTAAGGAATATTAATCGACAGTAACACTGGAATAATGGGAATTTTAGAGCAGGAATAATGGAATAATGAACAATTCATTATTCCTCTTCAGCCACCGAATAGTACTCATTTTTTCGGCATCGCAAATTAAACAAATATTAATAAACATGCGGTTCCGTTTGCCTTCAAAGACAGCGTCAATGTCAGAAAAACAAAAGCAAACAGGAGTTTATTTGAAATTGAGACTCAAGATGCCTGAGCTTTGAACTCTGAGATCAAAGAAACTGCATATTGATGTAAATAAGAGAAACCGGAAAAAAATTCGAAGAGAAGAAAATGGCTGAAAGGACCGGATAAATAATTGTGCAGTACAGTATCGACCAGCTAAGATTCTAACGTTTTTATTGACTTCATGCGTGCCAGAGAAATAGCCACAAATGTAGCGAAATCACCTTAAACCGCATAGCGACTTAATGAAATATCAAGTAATTTTTCGGGTAAAAACGGCTTTCTAGTTCGTGATACTGTCGTTAGTTTGACCATAATGTATTTATCTTACTTTAGTTAAAAAACCCTACAAGAACAGCAAACCAACAAAGTAATTTATACCTCGTGCTGAGTTTTTGGCAACCTTTTTGTACAATTTTAAAAATTAAGTTATTCAGTTCAAGGTACTTACAAATTTGCAGTTGCTCAGTTGTCTTTTCCAAAGCTTTTCCGTCTTTCGATTCATATCATTGCCGTGGCCGAAGTACAAGTGTTCAGTTAAAGGTTTGTAGTTTTGCCCGCACCTTGGACCAGTGACGTTCTACAAAATGCCGCTTTTCAACAATTAAAATGTAAAGAAAAAATGGCTTGTCACAACTAGGAGGCTTAGATAAAGTTTGTGACAGATCTTAGCTTGATTCTTATTCGCTTGCTCCTGACAGTCCTGACAGTTGACTTGGAATGGGTTTCTCTCCGTAGTCACAGAGATAGTCTCGCTTTCGTAGCATCAGCGTTTCTCGCTATGGAAAAACCCTCTCTGGCACCCAGGGTAAAGCGCGCATGACTGTGCATGTGTTTCTAACTGAATAACACAAACAGTACAAGACATGGGGCAGGCCTAATATATAATGTTATGGCTCATCATGCTGGTTCGACAGACTTAGCACACACACATCCAAAAGGCGAAATTAAAATATGTTCTTTAGTTATTATAAATTACACAACTAAGACACATGTCATTTTGGGTATATGACGTGTTTTGTTTGGTCTGTCTCAACAAGTTGTCATCTTGTACCAGTAGACAGAAGGCTCCAATTTATAATTAACAGTTGTCTCTGCATGGCTTGTGGTTACGTTGTGCATATTTGTTTCTGATTGCTGACGGAGGAACCAAGTCAAGTCAATTTCACACTGTTCGCAGAATAATATAATCGAAGAGTTGATATAAAAGAAACATCGAAGAATTTCCTGAGGCAATGACGATGTGAATTCTTCCCTTTTTCAATTCCAAGACCACAAAAAGTTGCTAAACTAATTGAAATGGTTATCTTTCTTAACCACTAAATATTGTTATTGAAACTAACCCTAACCCTAACCCTTTACAAGCTGACGTCCGATCTCACCCCTGAGTTGAATTGTAAAGCGCATTTGGATATATTATATAGAAAATGCGCTATATAAATGTCATTACCATTACCATTATCTACACGTCGACCAATAAATTATGTAAAAAAAAAATGCTATTTAAAGAATTTCACTTTTGTCGTAAATATTTAGTAAAAGTTAGATATTTGACCAATATTTTATGTCTTTTTATCAAGATACTACGCGCGTTCTGATTGGCTCAACACCATTTACCATAACTCTATGGAAACACAGAACATTGCTTCGTGCTTTCCATAGAGTTATGGTAACACTCGTGAAGTTTAATTTGGGAGAACGAGAAATGATGTGGAAACACGAGCCGTAGGCGAGTATTGCCACAGCAATTTTGAGTTCTTATCAAGAAATTTCAAGGAACTATTTCTCACACACCCACCTCCCTTCCTCCCCTCTCACCCTTGTACGGTCGAGGGTTAAAAGGAAATACAAAAACAATTGCATTTATAGATAATACAAATATCTAAGAAAAGAAAACACGACTGTACTGTAGTGAATTTAAGGAAAACTTGTACCAATGAGCGTCAAAAGAAAGGTCTGTCTGTCAGAAAGGCTTCATTAACAGAGATTGGTTTTGGCCGAAAAAGTTAAATTGTCTGATAGTAAAAAATAAATTATGTATAAAGTCAATTATTTCTACACCATTAAAAGAACGGAACAAACACAATAATACGATGCAATTGCAATGCATGCGTTTTTTCAACTTAATTTTTCCTCCTTCATCGTTCGAGTTATAACACAGACTGTCAACCTCGGCACGAAAACAATTCCGGGCTTTCCACGTTCGCCTCTCGGCGAGTCTCGACGCGGTCCGGCCAGTCTCTCGGCGCGGTCCGGCCAGTTGTAAAAATAGGTCCGCAAGGAGAACTTGTGTGGCTTACTACTTTTGTGGTTCGTGAACCAAAAATAAGCAGACTCGGTCGCTATTATATCCACCTTGACCTACTGATTTCCTTGGCAGAATAAAAACGCATTAAAGTTTCATTTGCAGTGGTTCTCAACGATCGCTGTTTCTCTCAAAAACAACAACAGCAACTAAACTCAAAGAGGTAATTTTTGCTTCACATTTTCCCTACTATTTCGGAAATTAACCTCGTGCTATTTAAAAGACCACAGTTTTTGTTATTGTAAGACTTACCTTTATGGCGTGACTGAATTGTACATTGGACGTGCAAATCTTCACAAATGAGCTGGTTTGGGCATTAGAAGATTATATAGCTTTCT